AGATATTCAAGATGCTCCTGATACCCACGAGCTTCCTGGATACAGACAATGTCATATCTGGAACAGAGTGGTACTATCTTATCGTACTTAGCACGGTGAGAGGCCTGGGGAGCATAGGTGGCACCGAAAAGGGAGCGCACGTTCCACGTACAGATCGCGAAAGGCTGGTCAGGCACGAAAGGCGCAAGCCCCTCGAAGTCAGGCCTGCCTGCAGCGGATCCACACGTAGAAGAGGAGGAAGAAGCCCCATATGCAGTGGCACACGACGAAGAACCAGAGGAACTGGAAGAAGATGACGAGGTGGACGAGCTCGTGTCGTCGCTGGACTTTGAATTCTCAGTACGCCTCTCGTGTAATAGAAGGGCTTGGGAAGACAAGATGATGCCATTGGCAGCCCCAGCGGTCAGTACTTCACTTACCTCAAGGCCCGCAAGGCTGGCAGGGGGATCAGCGCAAGCCTCAGAGGTCGGTGCGTCGCCCCCTGCAGCGCCCGCAAAGCGAGGAGAATCCATGCACGCCGCTGGGGCAAGAGAGGCAGTCGCTGCAATGCTCGACGTGACAACTTCGTGCCCGTGCTGCAAGGCGGCACCCAGAGGTGCACCAGAGTCGGCCACAGGGGCCTGCCCATCTCGAGTGTAGAGGATCAGCCCAGAACATGTCCGAGACAGCAAGATAGTTTCCTAGCGTGGTATGATGACGGCCACCATGGACTCGGCCTTGCGCTGGTCGATGCCGATGGCCGCTAAATTATCCAGCTCAGGTTTCACGTCGAACTGGTTCTGCTCAAGCTCCTCAGCCTGGAAGAGCACACTGCACTCGTCATTCTCAATCAAGAAGAGGGTTCCCTTGAAGCCTTGAGATCCCAGCTTCATGCCTTGGCGCCATCCGTTGACTTCTCGAAGATGATCGGAAACACGCGTCCACAGCAGGCCGAGCGCCTTGTTACGGCGTCTGACCGAAGATGGGGCATCCAGGCGCGCCCGCATGGGAACCTGCACGGATGTCTTCGGGTCCGTCCAGTGCATGCCCTTGGCCCGAACCTGGTCTACAAAGTCCCTGGCATTTATGCCAGACTCGAACTCGATACTGAAGGAGGAGTTGAGGTTGTGCGCCCGCGTTGAGAAGGGCACGTCCTGCGGCACGAGCCCCTGCTTCTTGATCGTGTCGGCGACGGCGATCATCACTTTGGCTAGGACTGGCCGAGGAAATCCGCCAATCCAAACCTTACACGGGTTGCTCTCAGGCGTCGCGGTGCCACCGTGTCTCTCGGGACCTGCGGTGCGAGCCCTCTTGGATCCAAGCGTAGATGCGAGGGTAGATCCACTGGCGGTAGAGCGAGTGTCGTTGGCCACCTGTCCAGCCAACTCCTTCAGCTGCAGCGCGGTGGAGTCTGCTTGTGAATGCAACCTCTTGATGACATCGGATTCGCCTAGGTTTGCCAGCGCGTCACTCATCACGTCCGTAGTGGCCTGCACGCTAGCCAATTGCTCGGCGAGCACTTCGAACTTTTGATGATGCGCGAAGACCTCTTCCCTGATGGCCTTCATGTCACCGAGGTGGCCCTCGACTTGGGTCATGCGCGTGCCGAGACCCTCGATGCCAGAGAGGATGCGGGCGAGCGTGTCATCACCATGAGACATCGCTGCGCTACCCGCCATGAGGCCGCACACGAAATGAGGCGGCTGGAGAGAGGAGTGTCCGCCTGGGTCTGACCCCAGATCGCCCTCTGAAGAGAGCTGCCGCGCTCAAAAGGAGCCTGTCCCCGACTTGAGCCAAAATGGCTACGGAGGAGGAGGAGGAGGAGGAGGAGGAGGAGGAGGAGGAGGAGGAGCAGGAGGACCCCCTCCCCCTCCTGCTCATGGTGGTGGTGGCGGAAAACGAGTCCACCATCCTCCAGCACCACCAGGGCGAGGGAGGTGCGAGGAGCAAAAGGGCTGGGAGGCAGCTGCTGGGAGGTCTTCGTCGGAGGGACCCGGGAGGAGTCAGCCCCAATGGCAGGGAGCCCACAGAGGACGTACGCGCCCAGCTATGTACAGGAACGCGGCCCCGTGACCCGCGAGACCTGCCGCGTGACACGAACAATCGTGCAATGCGAACTCCCCAGACCCCCGACGTAATGATTTTTTCATTGCGTCGACCCCCAGAGGTCCCGACCCTTTCCCCATGACCGGCTTTGCATCCTGAGTCGTTGTTTGACGCTCCCGAGGCCCGGTGAGGGCCCCAGGAGGCCGAAAATTAGGAAAAACCTCCCGTCATGATTTTTTCATTACTCGAGGGGGTCTGGGTCTCGAAAACAGCGTGGATTCATGTACGTGTACGCCCTTCCTTCGCTCCTGACAGTGGGGGGCGGGCCGCGGATGCATCGGGAGAAAGCCGAAGATCAAGCGGGGATCAGGCGGAATCGGGCCGGATGGCGCAGGACTTCGGACCAGGGCGAAGCCAGAATTGGGAACCCCCAAACCGGGTGGTGAGATACCAGGTGGCGACCTGGAATCCCCAAAAAGGTCACCGCTGGGTTTGGGGACGCGGGGTCACCACCGGGTTTTGTGACTCCTGGACCCACCAGTGTCCGGGACATCCTCGGAAAACCGCACGAGTCCCCAAACCGGGTGGTGACACCAAATCGCCCGAGACTCACCGCCAGGTGTTGTCACCACCACGTTTGGGGACTACTTACCAACAGAATTGGACCTCCCAGGAGTTGGATCCCAACAAAAGGGGGGGTCTCTCTGGTGGTCTGGTTCCCCCCCTCCCTCTGGCTCGAGGCGTCCCCAGCCTCCAGCTCGGGTGGGCATCGTGGACCGCCCCGCTGGAGGTGGGCCCCCTGGTGGTGTTGGTGTCGCACCTCCCCCCTCCGGAGGAGGACATCGGGCGAGGATAATCTTCGGTTGGGCATGTCCCCCTACAGGGAGATGTTGGACGACAAATCTTCACAACTGAAACAATACACCAAACCTGCGCAAACATGGTCAAGCAAATGTCCCCAGACGATTGTTCGACTACTTTTGACTTTTCCAAGTGTAGGGGGACAGGCCCGACTTAAGGATACGCGGGAGCGCAGGGAGGAGGGAGGAGGGAGGAGGGAGGAGGGAGGAGCCCGCACAGGACGTGCGCGCAGCAGCCGCCAGCAGGAATATACGCCCCCGCCCGTCCGCGAGGCCAGCCTCTCGTGCTGCGAGCGTTCGCGCCCTGCGCGCGCTCTGGAAGGCAGCGCGGACTCGGGAGACTGCGCTCCTCTCGGGCGAAAGGGGGGGATAGCAAAGGGGGGGGGTGAGAATCAGCTCACGTGGCTGATTTCCTCGGCGCCTCCCGGAGCCCGAGGCGGCTATGCATCGACGAGGAAGGGGCTCCTCGGTAGGGGCTGAAACCGGCTACATGCAGCAAATTTCGTAACCCCCCCTTCCCCAATCCCCCCCTTTTGTCCGGCCCGATCCTCAGAGCCGAGGATCTCTGAGCTCTGGCGGCTCCGGAGGACGCTTCGGGCGCCGCGGCCTCGTCGGAGCGCTCCGGGCTGCTCCGGAACGGATCTCTTCTCGCCCCAGCCCCGCCCGGGGAGGGCGGGGGATGCAGCGGAGGCCAGTCCACAAGGAACCTTCCACGAGGAACCCCAACCCCAGGTGCCCCAGGACGTCCCCGTGTGGGAACATCGCGCTGCCCATCACAGAACCATTGGAACCCAAGAAGCCCAGGGCACCCTGGAGGCAGGCAGGGTCTTTCTTTGCATGGGCCTCCACTGTACAGGAAGCCAGGACGGCGTACTCCTAGGTCGGGCAGGTCCCCCTACAGGCCGACTTTGGGCGAAAAATGAAACATGCTCAACAAACGTTTAAACATGATATTAAAACATACTCCCAACACCGTTCCGAGACTATCTGTTTCGACTATTTTTGAACATATTCCCTCTACGTAGAGGGACATGCCCGAGTCAAGCGTACGTAGTCGTAACCTTTCCGCGCTGCGCTTGAGCAGGGACCGACCGTCCCGGCATTCCTATAGCCCTACCACGAAATGTTCTTAGAACCCCAAAAAATTCTAATAACAAAAACAACGTTCTTAGAACATAAACCCGATGATTTAAAACAAAGCAGACTCCGCCAGAAATGCTCTAAGAACATTTCGTGGAAACCACAAGAGGTTCTTAGAACATTGTTTGGTAGGGCTACAAGCGAGCCAAGACGCTTCGCCACTGCTTGATGCGCGCGGGCTTCCTGGACCCGGCTCAGGGATCTTCTGACCCGGGTCAATCCAAACCGGGTCAATCAGGCCTGCAAAATCCTGCAAAATTCTGCACCCAAACCCAGGTCAATGCGAAGGATCATGCAGGATGCTGCGCCCAAACCCGGGTCAATGCGACCCCGGCGCTGCAGGATCCTGCAAGATCCGGCGCTCTGGCTGACCCCCGTCTGCACTGACCCCCGTCTCGAGGCTCCCGACCGGCGCGGGGCCCCATGACCCCGGCCAGGCGCGCGGAGGGCGCGCCAAGGGCGGCGCCGCCAGGGGGCGCCGCGCCGGGAGGAGGAGGAGGAGGAGGCAGGGGGAGGAGGATGAGGATGAGGAGGAGGAGGAGGAGGAGGAGGAGGAAGAGGAGGAGGAAGAGGAGGAGGAGGAGGCAGGGGGAGGAGGAGGAGGAGGAGGAGGAGGAGGAGGAGGAGGCAGGGGGAGGAGGAGGAGGAGGAGGAGGAGGAGGAGGAGGAGGAGGAAGCGGCGGCGGAGGTGGAGGGGCCGCCGCGCGGACCTTCGCGAAATTGTCATCGAGGTGGATTGGAGGGGGCGCGCGAGAGGACAGCAGACCCTCCCGAGGGCCACATCGCCACAGGAACGCATGGAAGGCACGGGCCGCCCAACACACAGGACGCGAAAGCGCACCCTTGAGGTGGCAGGGTCGACCTACCAATCCGCCTCCAACGCATCATCGTGCGGTGTGCTTCTGTCCTCCGAGCCTTCTGCGCAGCGGGGAGGAGCCTGGAGAGGCACGCAGAGGGTGCCCCGCACCGCCGCTCCTCGCTGCTCGGCGCCTGGGTGTCTCGGGGGCAGTCCGCCAGGATGTCGGCCCAGGCGGCCTCCGCGTGCCGAGGGCTCGGCTGTGGCATGTCTGTCTCGTCCCGAGACGGCAACGGGAAGAGAACGACGACGGAACGCAACGAACAAGTCGTGTCTGAAAGCCAGCGGGACTGGAGAATGGATCAGGCACCGCGGCCGCCCCAGAGGGCTCCGAAGCGCTCCCAAGGCGTGCCAGGAGCGGTCTGGCACGACTGTTCTCTCTGGGCCGGCCCGGCACTGCCCCGGCCTCTCGCATGCTCGCCTGGCCCTGCCTTCCTAAACAACGCGTGCGTCTGACGCGTCTCTCTGCCTGCACCTTTACGCCGCCGGGCCAGACCGAACTCTCGATGTGAGATTCGAGGGCTCCCTCAACTTCGGTCAAACTGCCCCTTTTCGCCAACGTGCCGCCGCTCCCATCTCCAGCAAGGACGCGCCGTGACCTCGTGTCGAAACGCAGCAGGGCCGGCAGACTTCGACTGCTGCCGTCGCCAGGAAGGCAGCAGCATCAGCAAGATCGCAACAGGATGGATCACTACACGTCAGCGATGCAAACTCGAGGGTCGTCAGGGGCGGAGATTGCCATTCGCCGCCGCTGGTCTGTTCTGACTGGCAACTAAGGGAGACCCCCCCGCACCTTCAATGCGGTGCCGCAGTCGGGCTCGAACTGGTCCTGGGGCTCTCTCGGCTGGCAAACCCATGCAAACGACACGCCACGGACAGTGGCGGCTCGACATTCTGCACCCGGCAGATGCACTGTGCCACTCCATTTCTGTCGTTTCTCCACGTCGCCGGATTGCCCCCGGTAGACAAGATCTGCGCCTGATCATGCCTACGATCTGGCAAATGGTATGGAACATGTCTCGCTCATCCAGCCGCAATACACATCCACCCTGCTGACCAGTTGCTCGTACACCGCCGCACTCCACTTCCTCTCTGCTTGGCTCTTCAGGTGCATCCGATGTTGCTGTGCATTGTCCCACCAAAGAAGCAAGTGACACAATGACATGTGCATCCGGACACATAAGAGCACGCCGTCCCAGTCGGATCGAGCGGATGTGTCTGTTCTCGGTGTTACGAGGGCATTATCGGTCAAGCGCTCGTCTTTGAGCCCCTAAAGGAAACACGTTCGGGTGAATTGGGCTCCATCGCCCGGATCCCCATTCGAGGATACAGTTCGACTGTACAACTGGCGAGCTGCTCTGCCCTTGGCGGGAGGCATCACGCCACTACACTGAAAACCTGCACACGCAAAATGGGCACCCCCCTATGCAGGGAGGTGACGCAGTGGAATACAACATCTTGCGAGTCGCCCGCCCCGCTCCCCCTGCCTCTCCCCTGCCCCTCCCCCATCCCGTCTGCCTGCCTCCTTTCTTTCATCCCCTCCCCCGTCACTTTCCCTCTACCCCCGTCGACATCTCCCTCTCCATATCCCTCCCCACTTCACCGAGCTTCTCCTCCCTCCTCCCTCCCTTTCAAGCAAAGCTAGCGGCGCAGGTCGGAAAAAGGCAGACGCTGCTAACCGCCCTCGGCCAAACCACGCAGCCCGATCACCAGCCGACCGTGCTGGTCAGCCTTCGCAGGAGTGGGGGAGGGGGTGAGCCATAAATTCGCACTCACACACAAACATACACATATACACATGCAAAATCATAAATACATGTGCACATTCATTATATATATAGGTATATATATATATATGTATGTGTAGGGAGAGAGAGAGAGAGAGAGAGAGAGAGAGAGAGAGAGAGCGAGAGAGGTTCGCCAGGCTTCATTCGTTTCGGCCTTCCGACGGCCCCAGAGGCCTCCAGGATGGCCCTTTGACTGCCAAGGAGGCTCCTGAGACGGCGCCCCAAAATGGTCCCAAGACGGCCCCGTAGGGATAGCCTCCAAGACGGCCCTGAAACGCCACCAGAGTGCTCCCAGACGGCACAACGAGGCGCCCAAGACGGCTTCCGAAGGCGTCCAAAGGGCCAGGGACGCCCTAACATATCAGAAAAGGTGTCCCAGAAGCCGCGAAGAGGCTCAACGACCCCCTCAAAACACTTCCTCCTACGATAGCCCCAGGAGAGCCCAAAACGGCCCCATAGGATTCCACACGAACACGAGCACCATCGGGAGCGCCCCGGATGGGCGGCACTGGGCGGAGGCCGTTACACACATTATGTGTATATATAGATATGAAAGAGAAAGGAAGAGAACAACACTACACCTATATAGATGTGTGTATGTGTGTATGCATGCATGCATGCATGTATGTATGTATGCATGCATGCATGCATGTCTGTATGTATGTATGTATGTATGTATGTATGCATGTATGTATGTATGTATGTATGTATGTGTGTATGCATGTATGTATGTATGTATGTATGTATGTATGTATGTATGTATGTATGTACGTATGAATGTACGTATGTATGTATGTATGTATGTATGTATGTATGTATGTATGTATGTATATGTGCATGTATGTATGTATGTGTGTACGTTTGTATGTTTGCATACGTTTGTGATGTATATTGATGCACCTTTGCACGTACCTATACATCGGCAACTCCATCAACATACATACATACACATTCATACACAAGTACATATACGTACGCATGAACGTTTACACATAAGTCCACACATATGTATACGTATGTTCGCCATCGTGGGCCCAAATGCAGTGTGTGTGTGTGTCTAGCAGGTCTACGTTTCGACATATATATATATATATGTGGGACAGCATCCGTGGTGTATTCTGTGGGGTAAGCATGTAGGTGAAGTAACATATCTGGTGCAACTTATGTTGCACGACCTATGCTGTGCCATTTATACCGTGCAAAATATGCAGTGCGATTTGTGATGTACAATCTGCGTGGTGCGATATGTGTGGGGTAGCAGATGTGGAGCAACGGGTGTTGTGCGATCTAGGTAGTGTGCGCTATGTGATGCACGCTGCGTACTGCAATACATGTGGTGCGAACCACGTGGTTTGCAATATGTATATACGTATACATACATACGTAAGTACATACGTACAAACAAACATACATCTACATATATTTGTGTCTGTGTATATATATATAATAGAACCATCGCGAACGTTTCCCGCGCGCTTAGGTTCTAGCTGGTCGAGTGCCGGCCGCATTGAGATAACACGGCGATCGTGAATAATGAGGTCAACATTATCTGTTTCCTCCTGCCCCTTCCTCTCCCCCTCCGCTCTCATCGACCTGTCGACCGGTGAGATGTCGCCAAGCTGACTTCTTGACCCCTCCTGGGGGTCTCCTGGGGCGAAGATCTCGGGTTCTCGGCTCACCTTCCTGATAGCGACCTTCGGGCAATCCCGCCACCGTGCCTGGGCTGTGGGTTAGAGGCCTCTTGGGAATTCGTTTGGAATTCGTGGGAGGCTTCCCGGGGGCCTCTTGACGGCCGTTTGGGGGCCCTTTGGGGTGTTCGTGAGGCGTCTTTTTGGGCCCCCTTGGGGCCTCTTGGGCTCTGTTGGGGGCTCCTTGGGGCCTCCTGAAATCCTTTTGGGGCGGAAGGCTCGAATTGTCGGTTCGTGTTCCCCCTCTTGGGCCCCTCTTGGGGCCGTCTTGGGGTCCTCTTGGGCGATCTTGGGCGCCTTTTGGGCCGTCTTGGGGCACTCTTGGGCCGTCTTGGAGCTCTCTTGCGCCGTCGTGGCGCCCTCTTTGGGTGCCTCTTGGGCCGTCTTGAGCTGATTTCTGGGGACTCGTGGGCTGCCTTGGACCGTCGGAAACACGAAACAGCGAGAACACGAACAGCCGTCAATAACCATCGAACAAACCCACTTGTTTCGCCTCATGAGTGCCTCGTGGGAATCGTTTTGAAGGCATCTTGGCCGTCTTGAAGCCCCTTCGGGCTGTCTTCAAGCCATGTTGGACCAGTTTTGAAATTGTGCGGTTTTGGGCTCTCTTGGAGCGCTCTTGAGCCATGTTGGCGCCTTCTTGAGCGTCTCTCGGCCCCCTTTGGTGTTTTTGTTGGCGTCCCCCGCCGGGCCCGAAACGGCCGGAAGGTAAATCTATGCACTTTGGGGGCCCCGGGACCCCCTACCCATTTGAATATGTCCATATAGCGCAGCCCACCCCCAGCACCCATTCTACGCCTTTTTTTTCTTTCCACGAGGCTCGAACCGTGCCGCTCCCCTCCTGTATCCCTTGCCTCTCCGCGCCTCGTCTTCTTCTTCTTCGCTGAAGCCTTCCCCGCATCCGCTAGCGGCGCATTTTCCACAAGCGCCAACGCGACAAATGCAGGCGCCTGCTTCCTCGACATAGAGGGGGAGCAAGCGTGTCAGCCATCCTGTGGACGAGGAGTCAGCAAACCCTTTGATTTCATGTGGATTCCTGGGGATTCTGGGATGCTAATCAACGGAACCCTGCGATTTCACTTGGATTCCTGGAATTCCACGGATTTCATACCCTGGAGCAAAACCAACCTTAAGGTTCCCAGGAGGCTCGAGGCTCATAACCCCAAGAATCCACATGAAACCGCAAAATTCGCGACGTCGGTGATGCGCAAACCTTGCGATGCCGGTGGGATTCCTTGGATTTCTGGGACGCTCATCAACGAAACCCTGCGATGTCATTCGTGTTCTGGGGATTCCTCGGATTTCACACCCTGGAGCAAATACAACCTTGGGATCCCCAGTTCCTTTGATTTCTGGGACGCTAATCAACGAAACCCTGCGATGTCACTCGTACTCCGGGGATTCCTCGGATTTCCTACCCTGGAGCAAAGACAGCCTTGGGACCCCCGGGATCCAGGGCCCAAAACCGCAGGAACCCCTATGAAATCACAAGATTCGAGACATCGGTGATGCGCAAACCCTTTGGTTTGTTTGGGATTCCAAAGATTTCTTCAACGCGAATCAACGAAACCTTTTGGTTTCACAGGGGGCTCCTCGGATTCCTGGTGTTTTCAGCCGTGACCTTCTGTGACCCCAGGGCTCGTGTTTTGTGTTCGCTCCAGGGTATGAAATCCCTTGGTTTCTCGTCTACAGGATGGCTCACGCGCTTGTTTTCCCTTTATGTAGAGGAAGCAAGCGCTTGCATTTGTCGCGTTAACAATTGTGGAAAATATGCCGCTAGCGGGTGCGGGGGAGGCCTTCAGCGAAGAAGAAGAGGCGCGGAGAGGGAAGGGCTACAGGAGGGGAGCGGCACGACTCCAGCTTCGTGGAAGGGTGCTAGGAGGGGGATGTCCACATCTATATATATATATATATATATATATATATACACATATACACAGCTGTGTGTATGCGGTACAGCCCATGTGATGCCACCGGCGTGGTGCAATCCACGCGGTGAAACTACTGTCTGTTCGCAGTGAGTTGTCCATTCCACTGCTCGCGCAATTATCCCACCCACCCACCCGCAATTTGGTTTGCAAAACCCATGCGGAGGCGATTGGGATGAGAGCTTGGATTTGGCTAGTGTACCTCTGCGGCCGCGATGGCCCGCGCAAGGTCGCGCGCGCACAGGCCAAATAGCTTGGCGCTACCGACGCGGCCGCGGTGGCGCTGACCGGTGTGCATTTCCCAGCGGGCACTTCTGTGCGAGTCGGCGATTTGGGCAGGCGCGGTGGCATGGCAACGTCGCCAACGGTAGATGCGATGATGATAGTAGCAATGCTGATCACGATGATGACAACGACGACAGCAAG